ACTCAAGTAGTTGCCCGACATCCTAGACCCTAGAATCTTAGAATCCTAAAACCCTAAACCCTAAAACCCTAAAACCCTAAACCCTAAACCCTAAAACCCTAAAACCCTAAACCCTAAACCTTAATACCCTAAACCCCGAAACGCCAAACAAGATCCCAACACTCTCAGGTCTTTTCGGCCGAGCGGTTCCTGCAGCGCAGCGCTGCGGGCATCAACCTCCGAGGGATCTCCGGGGCGCGGGGCCCGTGTTTGGAGGGGCCTGCAGAGTTTGGGAGTTTAGGTTTCAGGTTTTGGGGGTTTGGGGTTTAGGAGTTTGGGGTTTAGGATTTTGGGGTTTTGGGTTTAGGGCTTTGGGGTTTAGGATTTTGGGGTTTGGGCTGTGGGGCTGCAGGGTTTGGGGTTTAGGTTGTTGCTCCTGATTCCTGAGTGCCGAGATGCCAGGATGGCCCTTTGCAATGTCGGGGAGTTCCCTTGCCCTCCCTCGTGCCGCTGCCGCTCTTGCCAGGACTGCCCGGTGTTGCCAGTAGGTGAATGGAGTTTACTTAGTCAAACTGCAATGTTTACTATCGGGCTGGGCTTTTGATCTGCCTGCAAGGTTTTTTTCCGCCTCCGGTAAACGGACGCAGCGGGAAAAAAGTGCGGGTAGGGGGAGAGGCGGCTGGGGGGGTGGAAACAAGACCCATGCAAGTGAAGGGAAGGCGATTTCAGGGTGGTCGGCCGAGGGTAGCCTCGCGGGGGACCAGTGGGATCTTTTTTCCCGCTTTCATCCTGTCATATTTCAGCTCTGCTCTGTGAGATGTTCCGAGACAAGCGGAGTTACAGGTACGTTTACGTGGCCGGTGGCCTGACTCGGCCCACTAGACCGCCCATCTTGCAGATGCAAGCCTGAAAGCAAGCGATGCTTCACGGACTGTCCAGAAACAAAACCCGAGTCTAAGCTGCTGCCTGGATGCCAAAGCCTAACCCTTCGGTTTAGGGTGCGGTATTTCAAGAGGCTTTTGGCTCGGGATTCTAGGTGCTAGTGCGGCTTGCTTGCGCTTGCGTAGAACACGTGCATGAAGCGGATGAGTGCCGCCGACATCCGAAGTTCCCAGTATACACCTGGCCGGATCCTAATCTCCGAGTCGTAAGCAAGCCCAAGCCCTGAACAAGGAGCCCCTTGGTTCGGGCCGCGGATCGCCTGGAGCCGAGATTGTGAGCAGCAGTGGCCTTGCCTCTTTGATGGTGATCATCGCGACCATGAAGAGGAGGGCAAGCACGATTTTTCCTTCTTCTTGTTGTCGTTGTTGCCTTTCTGCCTACTTCCTCCCCGAACCTCGTCTGGGGGTGATCGTGATGCTATTTGATGATTGTCGTGCTGCTGGTGGTCGTGGTGATTTCAATGATGCTGAAGAGCTCCTCCTCCTCCTCTTCCTCCTCCTCCTCCTCATTATCATCAACATCATCATCCGGAGGATCGCGGTGATGAGCAGCTGTGATGTTTGTTCAACGACCACCTCAACGGCTAAATTGACGTGAGGTTCGTCTGGCGGCAGGATCTACTGCAGGCCTTTCCTTGGCAGCGCTGGCAAGGCCTTGCTTTTGTGGAGACGCGCGTTGTTTCGTTTTGTTTCGTTTTGTTTCGGAGGCAGCCACTTCAGAGCTCAGAAGCACTTCTTGTCTGGCTCACGCACGGTCCCCGGAGTAGACCTGAAGCCCTCAAGCCCAAGCGCAACAATCCGAAACCTAAACTTAGGCCTAAGGCTTCTGCCCTAAATGCAGATCGATCTGCGTGCAGGCTCTCGTCTCCCTTTGCTGCCGCTCTGGGCGGGTGCCCTGCACTTTTCATCCATGTGGTTCAGGGTTGATCCTAGTCCGAGACCTGATCAGTTTATTGATCAGGGTTAAGGGCTACTTTTGGGGTTAGCACAGGTTGCTGCAATGGAAACTGGTTTAGGGACAGAGGTTTTCGTCTTTAGAGGTCAGGTGTAGGTGGTCAGTGCAGGTTCGTCCTCGCAAGCTGGGGAGTTCGTTCGTTACTTCTTCACGCTGAGGCCTTCCGCCTCAAGTTGGCCTACCCCGAAACCCTACACCCTAAACC